TTTTGTTTTTTTTTTTTTTTTTTTTTTTTTTTGTTGTACATTCGAGAAAGGGAGGGGGCCTGGGCATCATAGACCTTGACAGCATTAGAAAAGTGATGCTTTCTATTATTTTGTAGGTTCTTTTCTGCTGACCGGCAACAACAAACATGCTCACAGAGAACCACTCTGCCATGCCATTGTGTCTGCCTGCCACCTGTGTGTGACGATGTGCCACCCTCCTTCCGGATCACCTATGTACTCTGTTGGACTACCTTCTGCCGTGTGGGAGTGGTCTGCGTTTAGCAATGGCTATACTTGAGGATAGACATGCCAATGGCTAGGTATTACAGCCTTGTCTATCCTCATCTTTTGTTTTCTGAATCCCTGTGGTAACTTTCCGAACACCTCTAGGCTCTAGCTGATTTTTACTTTCTTTTTTTTTGCGTATTCTTGAGCCTTTTTTGTGATCAGCGAAGTCAGGCTAGAATAACTAGCAGCCCTGAAAGGCTTATTACAGCCTCATAGCGTTTTAGCTTAGGGCTACACGTCTTCACCCGAGTAGAATGTACGGTCATTATGGCTGTATCTGGACTAGAAGTTGGCCCACATACCGCTACAATGACCGTACTACATTCAATTCAGCCAAAGACGGTAGGGTTTTTTTTTTTTTTTTTTTTTTTAACATGCCCTACTGCGTCAGAAAGGAGTGATGATAAGAGCATGCACTCCTTCCTGGCTCTTGGGCGGCTCCATTCTATTGGTGGGGAGCAACACCTGCTGGAAAGTGGGTCCAGCGTCCCCTAGGATACAAGGAAAATTTGAACCAAAAAGTCCTGCACTAGCGATCTGGTGTCCACTGACCATCAGGAAGGACAGAAAAGTGAACTAGCTTAGTGCCTCTTCACCCTCATGGGGCGCCAAAATTTTTTGACTACCAAGCACTTTACCAAGCCTATATCTAATAACACACCTTCCTTACAACTCAACGGATGTCTATCCAAACCAAGCAGCAGGCACAAGGCAATTACTTGGGAGGGGGGGAAGAAGACAGGAAATTCAGAGAAGGGCCTTACAGGGATAGAGGGATCAACAGTAGTCCAGTCGTTAAAGACAAGCCGGTATGGGCACATATGTTAAATTTTTGCTGCAACGCCAAGACAGTGGAAGGTATATCTCGAAAGTCGATCCAATAAAGCAGGGATATGCTGAAGGCTGCTTCAGTAGTAGTACAGCTTTAGTATTTGTTACCCCTGATTTTTTCTGAACGTTCTGTTTTGACAGCCTTGTTACTACAGTTACTACAGTTACTACAGTGCTCAGCTTGTCCCCAGTGCTTATTACCTTTTTGTTTTTTCAGTTTGTAGTCTTTGGACCATTTCTCGATTTATGTGTGGCATCCCGAAGTACAGCATGTTTGTTTGTTACGAGTACTTGTTACTAAGTTGTTATGAGTACTTGGGCGGACTTTAGTAACTGTAGTAACTGTAGTAACTGTAGTAACTGTAGTACGTACCAGTGTATTAGTACTTAAGAGTGCTTGTCACAACAGTCAGCTTCTCTTTTTGATCAAAAGTTTCAAAACATCAGCAAAAAGCAGAAAAATATTTGAGAACCCGGCTGCCAGTGTTGGGAAAGGCGCTGTGGAAAGGGGCGGGCCCGCGGGGAACTCTTCACCTGTTTTTTTTTCCCCCCGAAACGGCAGGGGCACGTGGGAGTCCGAATTTTGCGCAGGGCCTGGGCAAGATGCACTATATTTTTTTTTTTTGGTTTGGGGCAATCGGGTGTCTTCGGGTGATATCCGAATTTTTTCCTTCATCGACGGCTGTCGTTGTTTGGGCCAGTGAGTCGTATCGGGCCGTCGTCTTTTTTGTTGATCAACGGTGCCGGTTCTGTCTAATCGCGATCCGGCAAAATTCCACTGGCGCCGTTGATTCGTGAAGTTTCCATGAGGGGCCTAGCCGGCTGTCCAACCACCCCACGCGCTTCGCCGTTCCCGAACCAAGGCTTGCTGCTTCGTCGTCGCTTCGCGCCCGTCGAACGAAGCCGCTTCGTTGTTGCTCTGTGCGCGCGTTTTCACGGAGGGGGGGGGGAGAGAGAGAGAGAGAGAGAGAGAGAGAGAGAGAGAGAGAGAGAGAGAGAGAGAGAGAGAGAGAGAGAGAGAGAGAATCTCACTCAAGGTTCTAAACTTCGGTGTGCAATTGTTATGGTAGTTGAATTTATTACCCTTCTGCTTTCTGAAGTGCTTATGTAGCTTGCACCTGTGTGCGCTGGTGTAACAGAACCGTATTCGAGGCAAGTTGGCACTGATTCAGCTGTCCCCAAACCAGATAGCAATCGACCGCATTGATCGGCAGGTGAGTAGCTGGTTGGCTCTCCAAAAGTAATCAGCAGATCCACAAAAGGAGGAGCATATTTGCCAGTGCACCCTTCCTGTTAAGATTCACGGCCGAGGGTGAGGGAGTGAGCAATGAATGTAGTGGTGCAACGATGGAGGCAGGGAGAATGGGAAGGACTAATCCCTCAGTTGCAGGATAGAGAGTTTATTTCTGTTTTCTAACTTTTCTTAACTTTTCTACTAAAAATATACGCCACTGTGACCACGCAGGTTTTGAAGATTTTCTTTCTCCATCTCTCACTGCTTGAAATAAGAAATAGTACCCGAAATACCCTCTCTCTTTCTCCTTCGTGAAAACCCTTTTGGGTCTCTCTCTCTCTCTCTCTCTCTCTCTCTCTCTCTCTCTCTCTCTCTCTCTCTCTCTCTCTCTC